CATCTTTGCGGGGCTGCTGTCGTAGCGGCGTGACGTCATAGGTCAAAGTTCATGCGTCCGCCTTCATCTTTGCGGGGCTGCTGTCGTAGCGGCGTGACGTCATAGGTCAAAGTTCATGCATCCGCCTTCATCTTTGCGGGGCTGCTGTCGTAGCGGCGTGACGTCATAGGTCAAAGTTCACGCGTCCGCCTTCATCTTTACGGGGCTGCTATCGTAGCGGCGTATGCACTGGATGCAGTTGTTGCAGTTGTTCTGCAGTTTGCTGATCGTCGCTCGCAGCTTCAGCGCCGGACCCAGCTTCATTGACATGCTGGCCATCAGGTGATCTTCGGTGAGCAGAGGTAGTGTGGCGCCATCTACCGAGTTTTGTCGAAACGTCTGGAAGCGATAGCGATAGATGTGAGTATGTATGCTCTGTGTGTATGCATGCATGCATGCACGCACGCCAGTGCGTCAAGTACGAAGTTGAAAATATATCAAATATCAAATATATAATAATAATAAAATAACAAAATTAATGTTATCACCCCGTTTGCAATATCACGTGGGCTCGGTGACATATATGCCCGGTAGATGGCGCTAGGCCGATGAAGGACGATGCATAATTTGAGCCGTACAAAATGTAACTGGGGTTGCGTGTACGCGTGTGCGTGTATGTGGTTGTGTGGTGTGTGCGCGCGTGCGTGCACGTGCGCGCGCGTGTCCTCGCGTTTGCGTGCCACGCTCAGACAACACTGTGATGCGAGTGTGAGTGAGTAGTGCGAGGGAGAGTACGAGGGTGGGTCAGGCGGCGTCGGATATTTTATCTTGTTTTGTGATATGTTTTGTGATAGTGATAAGAAGCTGCGTGGGGCGCACTACCGGCGCCATTTCCGGTGCTGTCGGCATTGGTGCGTGCTGCGATGTGCGAACGAATAAATCTATGAAATATACATGCAGAAATATGCCTCTACTATGTATCTCTTTCATCGGCTGCCTGAAAGTGCTCAAGATATTGGTCTTGATTATTTAATTCCTATAAGATCAAACATTACATTCCCACTTGTGTAAATCGTCACGTTACAATATACACGTTTTCAACACGTCCTTATTGTCTGAATCATTTAAACAGTAGTGATACCGATTTACTTAATAATTAAAGGGCGAGTTTACTGTAGGTTCTAGGGTTATTTTCAGCTAATTTAGGTTATAATTACGCTACATAAAAAGTTTCATGGTTCAATCACTATTAGAAATTTTTTTTTTAAATGTTTTAAAACTAACGACTACAGTTTGATTACAACGACGGTAGCGCCACTCAAAGCGCACGATCTGATAAGTTGCGCAAAACCACTTTCCAGCCAAGGGCTACAGACCGAGGGTGTTTCTTATTTATTCATTTAAAAGCAAAAGGATTGTAACATCTTATAAACGACATATAGTTTCAGTTATAATATGGATAAATTTGCCCTAAAATGAATATCGTTCGGTTAAATAGCATTTAGGTATAAATATAATTGCACTTTTGTGATTACCCCTCGGTCTGTAACATGCAAAATAAATTGTCAAATACGCAACTTTTTCGGAGTGGCAGCACGGTCGCGGGTGTCATGGCGCCGTTCAAATTTCGTAGCGTTGATGATGTGTAATTAATTATAACAATTAAATTAGGTATCTGGTAACAAATACGTGTGGGTATAGACGATTTGTTATACAGTAAGTATAGTTGTATGCAGTCAAATTCTAGAGGCTACTGTCTTTTTAAGTACTGTCAGGGGCGTAGCCAGGATTTTAAAAGTTATAGGCACGACTATCTGAGCGGAGCGCCACCATCGGTTGGCGCGGAGCGTACAAGAAAAATTTTGGTTTTACAAACCCCCCAGATGGCCGGAAACGGCCCTTCCCGAGTGTTCATTCTGGTTCCCTGGCCTCTTGCTAACTTGAGACACCTACTTCAATATTACTTTTAAACCCAAAAAACACAAACGAGTTAAAATAGTATTACGAACGAGTTAAAAAACTGACAAGAATGGATCCTAGTCTTTTTCGGCGGGTAGAGTGTTGAATGAAACGGCACGCGATAGAAATGACAGCCTAGATGACAGAAGAATAGGTCACCTAATTTAGCCATATTCTTGCTACGTTCATTTCAATAGTTTTTCCTGCCTAGACTCTTAAACTCGTCCAGCAAGCTTATGGATTTGAATTATGGGTGTTTAAAAAAAAAAGATAACTTGGCCAACAAAAGTGTAGGCCCGGGCCTACAGTGCTACATACTGGCTACGCCCCTGACTGTTCTGTAGGTTGTCAGCGAGATGAACAAAGATTATAGTAAATGATAACAACGCCAAGTATCATGAGTTCCAAACATAAAGTTCCTTTTATTTCTTTTTTTGTTTCGTTTAACATCGGCTGTACATTCTCTAGGTGTAATACTCTAATCTTAAATTACATGTACACGTGAATATCGTCTTGCGCTATACTAATTAATAAATCTACGTGCAATATTCTAATTAACAGACATCCCTAATTGTGCATTAAGATCAACAACATGGAGAAAGTACTTTGAGCGAATCAGAGACGGGACTTTCAGAGAATCTCCAACAGGGGGCGCCGTTTACCATTGTCGTGGGGTGTTGCTATTCCCCGGGCGTGGAGGGACGGTCACGTGATACAGTTGACGTATACTTCAAAACTTAACAGTAACCATAACTCTAACTCCAACACTAACCCTAACACTAAATATCTATATATCGGATATCTATATATAGGGTTGTTATCCACAAAAATTAATCTATGGTGTGGGGACAGATATCGTGATGCAAAAACCCTAACCCTAACCATAACCCTAACCCTAACCCTAACCCTAACCCTAACCCTAACCCTAACCCTAACCCTAACCCTGATCCTAACCCTAATCCTAACACTAGTGCTGCCACGTTGCGTGACTCTCACTCCACGCCCGGGGGATAGCAACACCCTTAGCCTAGGATGGTCTCTACGCTCAGGCGCATGCGCTAACAACATGGCTGCCGTGCAGACGACGAGTGTTCTTGCTCTGGTGCTCGCTTCGCGCTAACACCAACAACATGACCAATGTAATAGCAACTGACACGCTACTGCGGCGAAAATAACACCCAATCATTTCTCTGTGAGAATAGCGTTGAAAACAGTGAATGTGGTTAGTATCGGGATCTTTTGCCTATATGCTAGAGATCACTCCGCAATAGTTAAAGAAGCTAGACAGTTCGTACCACACCGAATCTGGACCAGCAAAGAAGTTTTCATAATAAGTAAAGAATTTGTACAGCCCCTATGAAAGCAAGCAATCACTGTTCTAATGCGATTGCCTACCAGCCTGCTCTACGTGGATATTATAGCGAAATAGAATATACAAGCGAACACAAAATATATTCTCGCTCTCACTCTCTCGATATCTTTCTTTCTCTTATCACAGTCTTCCTTGTCGCGTGTCTTTGGTTCCATTGATTTGGAAATCACTGATTAAAATGCGTTTACTATCGCGCTATATGTGTGTGTAAACCATCCGCGTACCCACGGTGCCTATGCTACCTCTACGGCTACGTCTACGTTCTGTGTGCACGCTGAGTTAACTATGATCTAACTACACGAAGTTCCTACAAACTCACATAATCACATGTAGACCTGTCAGTAAGAGATATAAATCAAACATCGACACATCATGTGTGTGTGACAGAGCGAAGGAACGAGCTATCTACAATCCACTATCGATCTCCGATAATCGAACGATAATACGATAAAATAGAAATAATACACGTAAATTATGCAACATCTTTAACAAGCGATTCGTAAACGACGACGACGTTCACGATACCTGTGCCAGGTAGTGTAAGATCGATGACAGTCTGTGCAATCGTCTAACAACGAGTCGTAACGTAGAGTTACGTCTGTGATCCCAGCTTCGCTTCTCGTGTGTCGAACATACTCGGGTGAGAGTGGCAGTGAATACAGCTGAGGGAAACCCGTAGAGGAGTCTCGTGTTTGTCCAGGTTAGAAATTGGGACGGGAGAGGTAGGGCGAGAGAGAGAAGGGTAGGAGAGAACACATACTCGAGCGAGAGTGGCAGTAAATACAGCTGAGGGAAACCCGTAGAGGAGCCTCGTGTTTGTCCAGGTTAGAACTTGGGACGGGGAGAAGTAGGACGAGAGGGAGAAGGGTAGGAGAGAACAAGATAGGCGAGGGTGGTGAGGGTGAGGAGGAGGGCAGAAAGTGGAGAAAGAGAGGTGAAGGCGTAGGGAAGAGAGGAAATGGTGTGAGGGCATAGAAAAAGTTTCGGAACTGTCAGAGAAAGGCGGAGGAAAAGAGGAAAAGGGGAGATGTGGGAAAGGAGATGGGAAGGGGAGGACTAGGTGCGCGGGAGGAGAAGTGAGGGAGGGAAAGGGAAAAGGGAAAGGGAAGGGGAAGGGTTGGAGGGGACCTCTCTGGAAGCTACAGAAACCATGTACAGGTTTAGCAGATGTGATACGTAAATACGTTTAACCCACAGCTCCGTAGAGCTTCCTTGATGATACTTTAATTAAGACATTCGTTTTGTAGGATCTGTACTGGCGGTCGGATGCTGATCACAGACATCGAATCGAGGGCATATTAATTAGTCTAATTGCCCTAATTAACCCTTGATCAGCATCGCGTACGTGTAAGAGTGATCGGAGGCAAGTCTGCACGATATTCCAAAATGCCAGACGTGATTTCAACCCAATAAGCGTGTCTGACGTCAGCCGTGTCCGTCCGTGTGTGCTGCGTCAGAGAGCTAAGCGATGTTCAGGGAAACGTGCGAGTTGTGACAGAAGCTAAACATGCCAGCATGCTTCGCAACTTCTACTTAAAAATTCACGCACACCGACAAAAAAGACGCGTGCGCGTGCTGCCACCTATTGACACGTTTCCTAACCAGCACAGCACACTGGCTTCTCGGCGGGCGTTGCTTGTTCGTACGTGACAGGTGGCGCCATCTTCCGCTCGTCCGCTGCTAATGTCTGCTGGACGAGGAATCGGCTTACTGCCATACTGCCATCTCTCGCTGACGTCATGTGTGTCTACCTACACACACACGTTACGCATGCGTCACGCACACATAGCACACACGTCACGCCTACGTCATACAACCTTGCGATGCACATTAACGTCATCTTTCACTGTCTTCGTTGTTCTTCCTTGTCTGCGTATATTAATTACTATACACAGGTAGTAATTCTTCCCCGCTTTCATCGCCCTCCCAGAATCTCCGGTTCGTTTTGCATTCTGTCTCGTAAACAACTCAACCTCTAGCGTCATTTCGCCAAGTCGCCGGTTTACAGGCGAGGCAATCCTACCAAGGCACCACGTCAGAGGTCAAAGTTCATGCGTCCACCTTCATCTCTGTGAGGCGCAGGGGGGTCTTACTGATGCATGACGTCATTGGTCAAAGTTCACGCGTCCGCCCTCATCTGTGTGGGGCGCCAGGAAGTCTTACTGAAGCATGACGTCATAGGTCAAAGTTCATGCATCCGCCTTCATCTTTGCGGGGTCGCGCGGCGCTGCTCGTAGCCGCGCGCTGGACGTCATTAGGTCAAAGTCACGCGTCGCCTTACATCTTTACGGCGGCTGCTATCGTAGCGGCGCTATGCACTGGATGCAGCTTGTGCAGTTGCCTTCTGCAGTATTTGCTGATCGTCGCTCGCAGCTTTCAGCGCCGGACCAGCTTCTATTGACATGCACTGGCCATCAGCGTTGATCTCTTTCGGGCTTTTGGGTTTAAGCAGAGGTAGTGTGGCGCACTTCTGACGAGTTTTGTCGAAATCGTCTGGAAGCGATAGCGATAGATGTGAGTTATGTAGGATCTGTGTGTAATGCATGCAATTGCACGCCACGCCAGTGCGTTCAAGTACGAAGTTGAAAATTATATCAAAAAATATCAAATTATATTAATAATAATAAAAATATAAAATTCAAAATTAATGTTATCACCGTTTTACGTATACATCGTTCGCTCATATAATGGAAAACGCCGAGTTGAGTTGAAGCATATAGATATATGAGAAGAGAGATAGGATGAGAGAGAGCATGCGCGAGCTGAGATATTGAGGAGAGAGCAGTGTTGTTTTTTGTTTGAGAGCAGAGTTTGAGTTCGCGCGGCCGTCGCTCGCCGGCTTTCTGAGTGAGAGAATTTTAGCGGCAGAGAGAAAAGAGTAGAGTATGTTAGAGAGAGATTTGAGAGCAAGAGCATGACGAGCAGCGTATTATGATGATGTGTGAGAGAGAGTGAAGAGCAGAGATGAGTAGAGAGAGAAGGTTAGAGAGATAGAGAGAGAGAGAGTTTAGATTTGAGCAGAGAGAGAGAGAGAGAGAGAGAGAGAGCTAATTGTAAA